CCTGACAGTAGCTGACCTGGAAGTTAAGATCTACGTTCTAGTACCACCTCTGCCATTTGTTCTTCCATGTTTACTAAATGCCCTGAGTTTGTTTACTCGCCATTTAATTGGGATAAAGGAAAAGTAACTTGGTTAAATCTATAGTGATTCTAGGCATGAAGTCTTAAATAGAATGTGCATGTGAGCTAGCAAAACCAACAAACAGAAATCCAGATAGCATGCAGATACTTCATGTATCATTTAGGATTTGTATGCCAATTTGAAGTTTGAAAGTCTTCTGTTGCTAAGAAGTTCATAAACTGACATTTTCAAAGTTGAGTGTATGTTTGGAATGTAGTATGTAAATAAAAGCAGTGTCCTGTCTGCCCACAGGTGCTTAATAACACACAACTGTGCTGGGGCAGGATTTAAATGGGCAGATACAGGCTTAATGCAGAGTAGAAAAAGAACAAAAATTCTCTAAGTAAGGTAAGAATTATCATGATTGGCTGGGAGCAAGACATGCTGTTTCCAGTCAAGAATTTATACGTCTTGAACTTTCATTACCCTAACCTTTGTTTCCTTTCTTTAGATTTTTTGTTTTGGCTATCTTGGATATATTTATATAATTGTTCACTGGCAACATTCTTCAGAGGGAACTATGCCTCTACAGTCCGTGAGTCTTAAATATGTATTTTATGTAAAACTCAAACTTAGTACTTTCAGAGTAACTTGAGGTCTACCTGAAATGGCCTTGGGGTAGCTGTGTGCATAACCCTGTCTGCACAGCCCATGGTGAACACACTGGACTGCTCTGATCACAACTGGAGTTCACAAAAGCCTATTCTGTATACAGTTGCCATCTGAGAGATGTCCAGTCGCAGTCAGACCCACACTAAGGTTTTCCTCCATCAGACAATTGGGTGACCCCATTTAACATGATATTTTTGTCTTCTCCACAGAATGTGAATGGCATAAAGTACCATGCTAAGAATGGTCACAGAACACAGATCCGTGTCCGTAAACCATTCAAATGTCGTTGTGGTAAGAGTTACAAGACAGCTCAGGGCCTGCGGCATCACACAATCAATTTCCATCCCCCGGTGTCGGCTGAGATTATCAGGAAGATGCAGCAATAACATGCTGGTCGTAACTGTGCCAAGAAATCCTCACCAGCAGTTGCTGATTTTGAAAACAGCCACCTTTTTTCAGGGGAAGCATTCAGCAACCCTTTAAAGAATTAAATGCATGCTTTAAATTTTTTCTGTAATTTTGGAATGATGTATCTTTGTAGAGTTAATGATTTTGTACATTTGCACATGTAATCATCATACCCATTTTCATTACTTTGATATAAGGTGCTAAACAAAACAAAAAGCTCTAGGTTCTTCAGCACATTTTTCCCCAAAACAAGATTAAAATTGAGGGCATGTTGCATATTGTTTGGTTGTATTGCAGTGATATCAACTGGGGAGGGGGGAGGAGGGGCTAGCACTGAGGTTTTTGTCCCCCAAGATTATAATGTGATTGCAGTTTTCAATACATCAACTCATTGTGTTCAAAACCAAAATAATACCTTCATTATCCAACTGGTTACCATGCCTTACATAATGGAGTTAGTACTTGTGAGTAGAAAGACTTTAGGTAACGGAAATATAAATAAGAATGTTTAACATAATATGCTAAAAATATTTTCATATTTAAATAACATACATAAAGGGTGTGCTTTCTGTGTTTTATATTATTGTGCAAATCCTTTTGCCCTTTAAAAGTCTGAAAATCTTGCCATCTGACTTATCATTTTAGAGTTATAAATAGCATTTTTGTACAAAAGTCTATTCAGTTCACTCATTAGTTTAACATTCATTGAGTGCCTGCTGGGTGCAAGGGATTCAATTTATGCCTATTGATATCTGTGGACCAAGATAATAGTTTAAATACTTTTCCCTGAAATCTGTTAGGAAACACTTTGAAATACTTAAGTGCAAATCTTGTGTGTGTAAAATTTAGTTCTATCTTCATCTTTAGGTGAAGTTTTAAAGCACTTTGTAGTTCTCTATTGCCAACAGATTAATGTTTTATGTGTTGCCAATTCTTGCAACCACTGCCCAACCAACCTGTGGGTTGCAAATAAGAAAATTCCAAGCACGTTTCAAAGAGGAACATTTTATTAAGACCCCTATCACCTCTTCATGCTCATTGTGTTTGTAGAATTTTTTTAAAGTCACTTTTTTCCATCACATTGTAGATGTCTGTATTCTCATTGGAAACATCTGTTTAGCTTTATAAGACATTTTGCTGAAATATGAAATTGAGCCTTATTGACAATGAAGTGCTTATTGCAGCAGGTGGTCAAAGAGTGACTAATACATGACCCGTTAAGAGTGTAACTATGTCTGGACCATTCCTGGAGTTTTTCTTACCAACAAAACCATCATGCCTTGAGTGTTCATTTCTCCCAAGTGCTATTCCTTAAACATGAGTTTACCAATTGCCTAATTATGCAATAAAAATTGTTTTGAGATGACTAACTGCCCACAAAACTGGTGAAAATCAAACTCGAAACGCTTGTAAAGTAACTTTCTTCCCGTGTTTCCATTTGTTAAAAGTCTTACAGATGGGAGGAAGCAGGTGTCCCTCCTCAATTTTTCAGATGTTCTCTCCTCAATTTTTCAGATATTCTGAAAGGAAGACAATTCTGTTAGCCAGATGGGTAAGCTTCTATATCCTTAAGTTGTGAGTCCCTCATAATGAGGGTATGAGAAGTATTTATAAAGACACTGCCCTCTAAAAATTTCCTCAGATCTCTTAAGAGTAGTCTTGGTCCTGAACGTACAGTGTTATCCTTGTGTTAAAGGGTGATCCAGACATGAGAAGCAACTAGTTGGTGCATAAGAAGGCCCTACTTGGCTATTTCATACCTACGTACAACTGACCAAATTTTTTTTAGGCCAACAATTATCATCTAGCTTTGCTCCTTCTAGTGCAAGAAACTTGTAGGCTGGGTCACTAGTTCAACTGCTAAACAGTCATTAGTCATTGTGCATGTTAGATTTCTTTCAACTATAAAACAAATTCCAATTTCTATTTACTTATTCATTGTGACAGTATTACTAAACAGGTAAGGATGGGAATATTTTGTTATACCGTGTATAGTGAATGTATTGTACTGTGTCTGTGAAAACTGTGCTTTAAATTATATTTTCATATGTTTTGTTCGGGACAGAGCACATTAAGTTTGAAAGCAACAGGTTTGTTTTAGAACTGAAGGAAACTAAATAAAAATTCCTGTCAAGAAAAGCTGCTTGTAAATGAAATCACATTTAAAATAAACTGCCTCTGACCCAAAATAAACATGGCTCTTTATTTTCATTAGCATCCATTATCAAGGCCAGTATCCAGTTTGCCACAGAAACGAATATCCATTCAGTACCTTGTTCTCAGGCTGCCCATTTTTTGGATTCAGCTGACACATGTAGATGTCATCGATGTTTTGCATAGATCACACTTTTTTGTATCAGTAATAAACTACTTGTAAGCCTGGAGGTAGAAACTACTTAAAAATAGGTTAGTATGAACAATTTCATTTCACTGATAGTAAGTAGTCTATATTATTCAAAGTATACTTTTATGTTAGCATGGTCCACAGTTATTAACTGTTCTTATTGTTGAACATATTTTACCTGAATATATTCTGCTTAGCCTATAACCTATCCTGAAGCTTAAAACGTGGATTCCTCACAACAGCATCCCAGATCTGCCATGTCCCAACATCTGGCACCTGACTGCCTAATACTGTTTTGCCCTAGACTCAAACCTTTTAAAGGACTTCAATGATACACAAATTCTGCTCCTAGAAACAAATACAAGTCAGATGGTGTATATGCAGTTTACATATAGCACTTCAAAATGCCACTATACTAAGTATTAGGTTCATATCTTAGATAACTAGTATGCTTAAGTATTTTTAATAACTACAAAAAGAAAAATCAACAAGTCTGTATTTTAAATTCTTAACATTTATATTATTTCAGAAAATTTAAGACCCAGGACCCAAAAGACATTCAAGATGATCACAAATAGATTTATTTGACTGAAATTACATACCTCTAAAAATGTGTCCACTTTAATGTCAATACTATACACATCAAAGACATAAAAAATACATTAGTTTGATTTGGGTTTATGCATTACATGTTTAATCACTTACTGAGAACATTTTTTTAAAGTTATACTCTTATCAGGAAAATGAGAAAAAAAAAACATTTTCTGTGATTTTTATGCCACAACCACCACTGTTCAGTAGATCATTTAACATAAAACAATTACACCAATATATCTTGTTCCATTTCCCCATCAGACAGAAATACAACTTTAGGATGGCTTTAAAATAATTATTCAGGTATTCTAAAGTTTCTTCAGTCATAAAATTAGCAAAATATGCTTTCTATTAATTCCTAAAGCAAACATCTCAAATATAAAAGGATAGTTGCTATCATTGCTATCTTGCAAACATGTGATCTCATTCTACATGCAGCTCCCTTTCTAAAGAGCGTTAAAATTTTTTTTCATGGGCTAAATTATGAAGTTTTTGTATTCAAAGAATTACCTTGCAAGACTTATGATAAATTCTTTTTACTACATAATTTTTAATAGTCATGCTTAAGCAACAAGGTCAACAGAATCTTGTAACTATTCTGCTAAATAATACATTTTTTTTTCAGTGTGGTAATGCTAAAATAATCCCTATTTCCTTTGTTCATATAATTTTGCAAAATAATATACAAACACATAAGAATTTCCTAAGCAGGTAAGATTAACAGAGGTTGAAATTACATTTATTGATAGTGGTAAGCCAAAGACTGACCCTGATCCTAGTAACACCAAACTCAAAGTAGCTCTTGGTCAGAAAAGTGCACTAGAGGGTACATGGAAGTGACACCTTGTGGTCTCCTTAGTGCTCTATTTGAGGTGATTTTTTTTCAACTGTTAAACTGTATTAACTCCTAATAAAAAAGTAACTAATCAAAATTTAAAACATTCTGATCAAAATGGGTCTGTACATGCCTTTCAAACACCTGCTGGTCATAGTCAGGAGGGAACTGCTCGCTGCACATTGGGCACACCTTCCAGTGACTTTCAACATGTTCTTCGAATTTGCTCTGATCATAGTTAGGAGGGAACATTAATTCACAGAGTGGACATTTCTTCTGAACATCAAAGCTTGAGGAAATAAAATGAAAGAATTACATGTCTGGTAAGATTTCTAATAGCAGTAATCTTCAGATATGGCAAGACTGCATTTATCTAGTTAATATCAGTATCAGCTTAACTTAACCTTGAAACTCTTCAGTTACTCCAGGAACCTTTTTCTTGGTCCTAAAAGCTTGCTATTGACAATTGTATAAACCACTTATAAAGCCTCTAAATTTATTTTACAACTAGATTGACAAAAACTTTTTCTCATCGAATCGAAAAAATACAATCACATGTGAAATGAGGCTCAGTGACAAGAATTCTTCAACTGTTAACTAACAGAATGCCTTTTGTAAAACTATAAAGATTAACTGAACTTGTAATTTCCCAACAGTGCTCACTCATTTAACTAAAGTTAAAGTAACTAAAGTAGTTACTAAAGTAACTAAAGTTGTTTACAGCACTGTTTCTCAAAGGACTGCATGTATCAGCACCATCCAGACGGGCACACTAAAATACATATTTTTGGGCCCCACGACAAGAATTTTGGGTTCAGGAGGTGAGTTACAGCCCTGGATCATACGCACTTCTACTAAATTTCAAGGACCATACACTCAGAACCACTGGTAATCCCAATTCTACACAGAAAAGAGAGAAGTTACCTGGGATCAAAGCAAAAGCCTGTTCCATGCCCACGTAAATGCTGACTTGGAGGATCAGGAGCAGTGGGCACTTTCTCATCTTCCTAGGCAAAGAACAATTTTTGCAACTTTTGAGAAAAGTGAAACCAAACAGAAGTCCCTCAATTTAATCAAGCACTGTATAAAGGAAGTAAGATTATACTTTAAAAAACTTTACTTCTATTCTCATTAGATTTTCCTGTAAACAGAAGTTTGAAAATAATTTGTTTTTACAGAGTATTTCACTGTGGACTAAGTCTTACCTTGAAATAAAAAGCAGTATTCAGTGGAATGGAGAGTGTACTACACCAGGGTGTGTGCGAAGGAAAATCAATATATTTCTGAACTATATGTAGGTAACTTAACCGCATTTTTATCATCCATACACTGGCCACTTTCATTAAAATCTTAAGACTATATTACTTTTTCTATTATTCTCATTAAATACCTACTAGTGTGGAACACAGGCAGGATCTTCTTTGACAATATACATCCACTGCACAATACATAGAAATTAAAGGAAAACTAGCAATATATGTGAGGTTTACATGTGTGTTTTGTTGGCAAATACATGAGAAAATTCAACTGGAAAACCGTGTTAAAAGCAAAGCAATGCACCAAACTACAGGTCTCAAAAACCCTGTTGTAAAATAATCAGATTAATTTTTTTTTTAATATTTAACTACCCGATGAACAGATTATCAAGGTAGCCTGCTGAAAACCCTGTAAATGTGAGTTGAGATCAAAAACAAAATGCTGGTCTGGATTTCCATGCCTGCATCCCAGTGGTCATTTTACAGACTTGCACACTGCTACTACATCAACAAAGGGAAGGATGGCACAACATGGCTGTTACTCTGACAATTATCCCCTCCTGAAAGACAGGGGTCAGGGGGGTGGGGTAACACGAGGCTCCCCACTCTCCCTCGCCCATGTACATCACCTGAGAAAACAGTTCTGTTGGCAAATGATTCCCTTAGGCTATACTTGAGCAAAAGAAAAACAGGATCAGTAATCTCATAGGAGATTGAGAAGCTGAGGAATACTGGACAAGTATTTCGTATACTTCGAAAATTAAAGTCTTTAACTAAAATCCAGTTTTAAAATCTAAACATACAGAGGGAAGATGATACATAGTTGAATCTGCTAAGCTTAATATGTATGACAGGTAAATTGTGATTCTGTGCCACATTACTCTGCCTGCCAGATTTAGGCCTTCTAGTAATAATACCTGAAACATGAATCGGCTTAAACAACTACATATAAAATAGTGAACAGAATTTTCTCATGTATGTAAAATACACGCTATTTAAGAAAATGAAAACATAATGAAAGGTCTCTTCATATTCTACATTTAGAAATTCTTGAAAGAGATATTTATAATACAATACAACCTTCTGGTGCCAAATATATAATGGAGCCAAAAACCTCGTAACTACCTTTGTGTTTTTTTTTTTAATAACAGCTAACAGCTTGTACCAATGTATTGCCTCCATGAATCAGCTAACAATAGAGTCTGATGCAAAGGTGCTAGATTCAGACCAACCTATCAGACCTATTAACCCAACTGATAAAATGTGGACAAGGGGATTTTTTTAAAAAGCAATTTATATTTTCTAAGCCATATATAATTTGGTAAGGATAACTCTCTTACTCTATTTTCTACCAGAATAAAAAGGAGACTCAAGTAGAATTCTAGATAGAATAATGAGACGGTCATGAAATAAGAAACCACCTACTCAGAGAATAGGTTAAGTATGTAATAAAATCTGAGGAGTTAATTAATATAATATAGTCCCTGGTGGTCTTGTCATGCAAAAGGACCAAGTTTTCACTCACAAATACAGTTACTCCATTTTACTCATTGAGCTTGGCTATTTCCAAACCATGCTAGCTTACATAAAACAAATCAGACAGGGAAATGAGGCTATTAATGCAGGCTCACTGCCAGCAACAAAAAATGTCTACCTTTCTCTTTTTTACCAGTAGCCAAGAACCAAAAACAGCCAGTAGGATTTCAACACTGCATCATACAGCTTTACTATATACATTAAAAGAATGTGAGAACATCATTCAATACTGATTTTTTAATTAATAAACTTCAAATTTATTAGTATTCTATTTTAGAAAGCTTTCACTCAAGTTTTAGCACTGAAAATTGTCAACTCAAAAGGATTCTGAATATCAGGTTTTAAAATATTAGTAGCTAGGTATTTTCGCAAAACTGCTTAATACCACACTGAAATGTATTTATGAACAATTGAAAATTGAATTTTTCTTAAAATATTTTCAATGGAGAAATGTCTGTTTAGATCTTTGGCCCATTTTTTGACTGGGTCATTTATTTTTCTGGAGTTGAGCTGGAGGAGTTGCTTGTATATTTTTGAGATTAATCCTTTGTCTGTTGCTTCGTTGGCTATTATTTTCTCCCAATCTGAGGGCTGTCTTTTCACCTTGCTTATAGTTTCCTTTGTTGTGCAAAAGCTTTTAAGTTTCATTAGGTCCCATTTGTTTATTTTTGCTTTTGTTTCTAAAATTCTGGGAGGTGGGTCATAGAGGATCCTGCTGTGATTTATGTCAGAGAGTGTTTTGCCTATGTTCTCCTCTAGGAGTTTACATATAGTTTCTGGTCTTACATTTAGATCTTTAATCCATTTTGAGTTTATTTTTGTGTATGGTGTTAGAAAGTGTTCTAGTTTCATTCTTTTACAGGTGGTTGACCAGTTTTCCCAGCACCACTTGTTAAAGAGGTTGTCTTTTTTCCATTGTATATCCTTGCCTCCTTTGTCGAAGATAAGGTGACCATAGGTTCGTGGATTTATCTCTGGGCTTTCTATTCTGTTCCATTGATCTATATTTCTGTCTTTGTGCCAGTACCATACTGTCTTGATGACTGTGGCTTTGTAGTATAGTCTGAAGTCAGGCAGGTTGATTCCTCCAGTTCCATTCTTCTTTCTCAAGGTTACTTTGGCTATTCGAGGTTTTTTGTATTTCCATACAAATTGTGAAATTATTTGTTCTAGTTCTGTGAAAACTACCGTTGGTAGTTTGATAGGGATTGCATTGAATCTATAGATTGCTTTGGGTAGTATAGCCATTTTGACAATGTTGATTCTTCCAATCCATGAACACGGTATATTTCTCCATCTGTTTGTGTCCTCTTTGATTTCTTTCATCAGTGTTTTATAGTAAGGAAGACATACAGATGGCAAAAAAACACATGAAAAGATGCTCAACATCACTCATTATCAGAGAAATGCAAATCAAAACCACAATGAGGTACCATTACATGCCAGTCAGGATGGCTGCTATCCAAAAGTCTACAAGCAATAAATGCTGGAGAGGGTGTGGAGAAAAGGGAACCCTCTTACACTGTTGGTGGGAATGCAAATTAGTACAGCCGCTATGGAAAACAGTGTGGAGGTTTCTTAAAAAGGCTAGAAATAGAACTGCCATATGACCCAGCAATCCCACTTCTGGGCATACACACCAAGGAAACCAGATCTGAAAGAGACGTGCACCCCAATGTTCATCACAGCACTGTTTATAATAGCCAGGACATGGAAGCAACCTAGATGCCCATCAGCAGACGAATGGATGAGGAAGCTGTGGTACATATACACCATGGAATATTACTCAGCCATTGAAAAGAATTCATTTGAATCAGTTCTAATGAGATGGATGAAACTGGAGCCCATTATACAGAGCGAAGTAAGCCAGAAAGATAAAGACCATTATAGCATACTAACACATATATATGGAATTTAGAAAGATGGTAACGATAACCCTATATGCAAAACAGAAAAAGAGACTCAGATGTATAGAACGGACTTGTGGACTCTGGGAGAAGGCGAGGGTGGGATGTTTCAAGAGAACAGCATCGAAACATGTATATTATCTAGGGTGAAACAGATCACCAGCCCAGGTTGGGTGCATGAGACAAGTGCTCGGGCCTGGTGCACTGGGAAGACCCAGAGGGATCGGGTGGAGAGGGAGGTGGGAGCGGGGACTGGGATGGGGGAATACATGTAAATCCATGGCTAATTCATTTCAATGTATGACAAAAACCACTGCAAAGATGTAAAGTAATTAGCCTCCAACTAATAAAAATAAATGGAAAAAAAAATAAAAAATAAAAAATATTTTCAATAGTTTTAATTTACAAAGGCCTAAGCCACCTACTTGTTCATATACCTTTAGACCCATCAGCATAATGCTCTTTCTAGTGCAAACTGGGTTTTAGCAAAGGAAATACATTACAGTAAACTGAAGCCCTACTTGAAACCCAAAACTTCTCACAGGATGCTCAATTCAAAATCTAGTGTTATAAAAATATTCTTGCTTTTTATCAAAGCATATCACGAGTTTAACCAATCTCTTAGAGGATGAGATACACTTAATCATACTAAATTCAAAACACAATCATGATCATAAAAATATAATTACCATATGACACAACAATTCCACTTCTGGGTATATGTCCAAAAGAACTGAAAATAGAACTCAAAATAGACATATTGGTACACTTATGGTCATATCCACATTATTCACAACAACCTAAAGGTGTAAACAATTCACATGTCTACCAATGGATGTGTGGATTAACAAAATGTGACATACACATGCAGTGTATGGTATACACATACATTACTTAGCCTTAAAAAGTAAGGAAATTGATACAATGTAAATGAATCTTGAAGACATATGTTAAGTGAAATAATCCCACCACAAAAAGATAAACACTATATATGATTCTCCTTATATGAGGTATCTGCTCTTCTGCTATGCTTAGTCGCTCAGTCATGTCCAACTCTTTGCGACCCCATGGACTGTAGCCCACCAGGCACCTTTGCCCATGGAGACTCTCCAGGCTACTGGAGTGGTTGCCATGCCCTCCAGGGGATCTTCCCAACAGAGGGATCAAACACAGGTCTCCCACATTGCAGCCAGATTCTTTACCATCTGAGAAACCCAGGAAGCCCAAGAATACTGGAGTGGGTAAACTATCCCTTCTCCAGGGGATCTCCCTGACTCAGGAATCCAACCTGGATCTCCTGCATTGTAG